GGGGGGAGTTAGAGGAAAAATACTTCTATGCTTCCTGTAAGGAACTGACCCACATTACTTGCAAGTTTCAGGGTATCACTTTGATAACAGTAAAGGTGTATATATATCCAATTATCTAGTCATCTTATGAAGTGACCTTAAACAAGACTGTCACTTCAATTAAAATTATGCTTATTCCTGTTTCAAAGAAAAAAGACATTTTTAAGGCTGCTTGCTCTAAAAAGTTAGCATTCACTAATAATGAATTTCTGATATTTTCTGGGTTTTGATAGCATCTATTTACTCTTAGCTGTTTGGCTTTAAACAACAAGCAGGAAAACGTCTGGTCTCCCTTCAAATATATGTTTGTTAAACTAAATGAATTGGGTACAGTGTTGAAAACTCTGGTATAACAACTGTTTCCCTCCCCCACCCCTAATGAGTTAAGTAGCATGTTTCTAAGATATATATTTATATTATCATTGTACTAAACCCCGAGATTATTTTATAAAAAATACATGGGAAGTGCCAGAGAAGTTGCTGAAAACAAGCAACAGGAGTTGCTCTTTTTCAGCAAGTTGCTCTTTTCATTTCCCACTAGGTTCAGCTTTCCCAGCTTTTCTATTGCTAAAAAGTTTAGAATTCATAGTAACACCCAAAAGGGAAAGGATTTAAGGGTAGGGAGAAGGTTATAAAATTATTTTACTGTTGACAGCAGCATTGTCATAAATACTAACAAACAAGGATCACCTCCCACCTAGGAAGGAACACAGGAATAAAGGTGAATATTTCTGGTTTTGAAGCCTACAGCACATTTTGATTGTGGTTTTGTTTGTTTTTTAAATACAACCGCTTGTCTTATCTTCTTGAGGGCATCAATTTAATAAAAAGCATGTCAGATCAAGTAGCCAGTGGTGCCAGTTATGGAGCAGTTTCATACACTGGCTTTCTACCCCTCTACAACCTGCTTGAAGTTAGCTCTCTAAACTGGGCCACTAGAATACAGCAGGCAAACTAGTCAGGTTGCGATTGGGAACTACTACTTCAGGACAGCTCAAAAAGTTGTAGCAGTTTAGTGATCAGGATGTAGCTTCTCCCTCTCCTCCTCACACATTCTCTAGGACATGCCTGTAGTTACAGAGTGAGCTTAACGTAATCCCTGCCCTCTACAGTTCAGCACAAAGGGCATTTCTCCAACTCAGGTACTAGCAAAAAAAAAAAGTGTGAGGGGGAAATGCATTTTAATTATTTTATTTTTCTTAAATATAATAGAACCTTCTAGAATTTTTCCAGAAACAGAAACATTAAAAAATTATACTTTATTACAAATGGTAAACTCAGAGTGCTAAAAAAAAAAGCCTCTTATTTACAAACAATACTGGGCAGTGCCCAAATAAACAACATAAAAATAACTTACAAAGTCATGAAGTAGTTTATTGACATTAATCAACTTTCATAAAATAAAATAAAAAAGATATGTACATACACAATTTACTTGAAGGCAGGCAGAATAGTTCTTTTTTGTTTATCAGCCTCCCACAAACCTCCCTCCCACTTTTTTTTTTTTTAAGGAATACTACATAAAGCAATCTACAGTTTCTATTGCAGTTTAACCTTTAATACTGAATGATCATCGAATGTTAGGTCCATGCAGGTCTTGGTCAACGTTAAACAAAGATCTGACATCGCATCTGAGCAGGAACAGCACTTCTCGGAGCGGTGCTGGCCGCTTCACTACTGACTCGAGCTGAAGGCTTGCCAGTCTTTCCACACATGCGCTTTGCAGAGCACAGGCAGGACTCAGCCTTTCAGCTTTTACCATTAGCTTTATGCATCTGCCACTTTTGGTTTTTTTGTTTTAGTTATACCACAATACCACAGTTCTTGTTTAAGACAGTCTCTTCAAAACGTTTGCAACTGTTGTGTTAGCATTAGCTGGCACCCGCTGTTGACATGGTTCATGACCTTCTGCTTAAGCTGTGCAACCTGTTCTCTGAGCATGTTGGCAGTGGATGCCAGCTCTGAGTTCTGGGCTTTCAAAGTTTTCACTTTTTCTTCCAACCTGGCAATCCTTTCCAACTTCCTTTTCCGGCATTTGGATGCTGCAATTCTGTTTCTCATGCGTTTTCTCTCGGCTTTGATTCTCTCCTGTGACTCCATGTCAATAGGGGACAGGGGAGGAGTTTCCCCTGGCATTTCAGGTACAGTCTGAGGCTCTTCTTTCAAAGCCTGGAGCCTGGGATGCTGCACCGGCATCTGGGGGTTTATGTGATGCTGAGGTGCGTAGCCCATGTTGTTCGTGTTGTAGTTAGGTGCAGAGTTGAGCGCGTTGGGGTTGAAGTTGCTGAGATTGGCGTACACCGGGGGCTCGCTGTGCAAATTCGTATTGAAACTACTGTTGCCGGCCATAGAGGACACAGGTGCCATGCCGCTGTTAACAGGTTGGGCGGCGGAGGTAACGCTGGGCATGGTGTTCTGGTTGTGCAGTTCCGCCAGGGCTCTCACAAAGCCTTCCGCGAACCCCTCTTGCTCGTCGGTAACGTTTTTGGGGCAGAGGAACTGCGTCGGGGTCGGCGTGGTGGTAATTA